CCCAAACGGCTGCTCGGAATATGATCTCTTTCAATGTGAACAGTTTTATTCTCTGCGCGAATGACACTCAAACCACCACATCCTTCAGCCGTAATGGCCTATTGCACCAGCTGTGGGTAAGAAGCAGTCTCCTCCCCTATGCATATACCAAGAAGCAATTACCTGGAGACATATGCATCTATATATAAACCTCATATTTACCGATAGCGTTGAGTCTCAAAAGCTATCGGTTCACCATTTGAAAGTGAAAGGTTGAGAGGGGCATGTTTGAAATGGAAAATAACTTTCTAACTTTTTTTTAATAAGTCATCCTCTATCCAATTAAAAATAAAGCATATGGTATTAAAAAGCAATATTGGCTGTTATTATCTACAGTATATTGTTGCAAAAATGGATTAGCTATTCACTCTTGAAGGCACTAGATTTTACCACAATTCACAACTATTTCCCTTTTTTTGCTGTCATTTTTGCACTGCTTCTTGGAACTATAGCTTCTGAAAATGTTAACTCACCACCGTTTCCTTTTTGTGTCCAATTCAATCCTCCTGTGTGTGCAATTTGATCTCACAAGATCAGGTGGAACAAGAAGTTAATTGCCCACATTTTTATATAGCGCTTTTCCATCTTCAAAGCTCTAAAAGCGCTTTACATCAAGGAACCACTCGCCCATTCACACACATTCATATACCAATGTGCGCAGACACTGGGGGCAAGGTGGGTTAAGTGTCTTTCCCAAGGACACAACAACATTATTCATCTGTGGGAGCTGGAATCTCCCTGTCAACTTGTTAGCCAGTGGAACCAATGATATTTATGTTCAGATCAGTGGACAAACATTACCATCTGAGCTACTGTCACATGAGATCTTGACTCATCCTATTTCTTTGTATCTTTTAAATTGTCTTAAAGAGGTAACTAAAGCCATCTGCTGTTTCAGAAAGTTTACTCTTCAATGTGATTAGTTACACCCACTTGTTACTCAGAGCATGATGGAGGCGCATTTAAAGGTCCTATATTACTCAAAAAATCGATTCTTGCAAGCTTTAAGCCATGTTAGACTATTCTTACCTCATCAGAAACATACCCAGAGTTGTGTTTTGTTTCATTCAGACACATTTGAGTAATCCTGCATTATTAGCCTGTCTACATCTCCAAAGCTCAAAATGCTTTGTCCCACCTTGTGGTGTCACGAAGCGCAATTTTTCTAATTAACAACTACCTTTTACCTTTTGTTGAGTAGAGAAATTCCAGGACTGAAATGATCAAAATGAATGAGTGTTTCCTGTATTAGTTCATGGCATTATAAGGTGAAACAGAAAGAAACAGCATGTTTTCAGTTTGAGAGAAAAACTCAACCTAAATATGAAGGGTTTGCGTGTTATACACATGTGAATGAAACAAAACACAACTCCAGGTATGTTTGTGATAAGGAAACAACTTTATAAAGTAGACTAGAAAAAAGAGTAATATGACCCCTTTAAACAAAAAAAAAACGGGGAAGCACTATATGGCAATACAGCTCTAGCCTGATGCATGTTTATTTATTTAATATTCTAAAACACATGAGAGACAATGTCATCTCTCATTTACAGTATCCGGCCTCATGAACAGTGCATTCAGGCTGTCACATACTGTTTACTGGATGTATTGTCTCCTCATCCTCAGGGAGAGTGCTAATGAAGCCAGGCCCTGGTCACATGGGATCACTATATGCAGCTTTCAACCAATCAATAACATACAACAATTTCTATGTTGCACTGTAGTCACCCTTATTTCTATTTCAGTACCATTACATTTACACACTGTATCGTTTTTATCAACAAATCTAACCAATTTGATGTTGAGGTAAATATAAATTTTTATGTACAATAATTTTAACCACATTAGTAAAATCTTTAAACAGCCCATATTAGCTATTTTGTTGTCATATTACGTTGTTTCCTCATCACTTGTTTAACACACAAACCCTGCATATTTAAGATGAGCTCTTTCTTCAAACACCTCAAACACAGGAAGTGCTCCACTGTATTTTTAAACTCCATACACCTTCACTAGAATCATTTGGATGATTTCAGCCCAAGAGTTGCCAATCTCCACTGAACGTATCAGTTAACTTAAAGCTTACCACTCCATGATATCACAAGTAGATGTAGGCAAACTAATAATAAAGTACAACATGGCTTAAAGCTCACAAAAGTCAATGTTACGTAATATAGGACCTTTAAATAAAACAAAACAAAAAAAGAGGAATAGTTCAGAAAGTTCAGTGTTTATACAACTATTATAGAATCATACTTTTTTTTTTAAAGTCAACTCAACTAAAAGACCTCAGAATGAATGCCTGTTAAAGCTCCCCTGATCCTTGCCATAACACAGGTTTCCAGGCTTCAGCGATCCAATCCGCAGTTCCCTCATGGATAAGTAGCTTTTTCAGCACAATCTGGCGGTATATGCAATCATACAAATTACTGTCTTCTTTTTTTATATTCTGTCTATTGTCCTCAGTCACAAAAAATACTCATATAATTCTATGTCACAATTAGTATGGCACTTGGAGCAGAAATAAAAAGACAGTTTAGACATAATCAATGCAGTGTTTTGACACATATTAAATTAGGTTGATTCAGAAAAGTCTGTGTGAAAAAATAGTGTCAAAAAACCCTAAAATCATTTTTAAAAGTAAAGCTTTTAAAGTATAGTGTTCAAACTCCACCTCTCATCTCTACAAATCATTTATAGGTCAACAGTGCCACCTGCAGGTCAAAACGAGAACATGCGCATGCACTTTTAACTAGTCTCTTTGTAGTCTCCTACAAGATATCTCTTTCCACACGGGAAATAGTGTGAGTGGATTTAAATAAATTAATACCAGTTTACCAAACCTCAGGGAAAAATTGTTGAAATGGTTAGGAACAAAAACCCTGCACCACAGTCTCCTAAGTAATAATACTACAGATTTTTCCTGGAGTGTGACTACGGGCGAGTATTTAAGATGGGAAAAATTTAAATATGTCAGCTCTAATTCCTCATTTAGAGAGTCTTGCCTCGTTGTCTCGAGGGACTGGAATATAAACCAGCGTGAAGAGAAGAGACACCTGACTAGTCATTTGGAACATCACTCTCCAAGCAACAAGGAATAATCAGGCTCACAAACAAGAGGAAATCGGCTTTGGTGTGGTAAAAAAAATATATAATTTTTTTTTTTTCTTTTTTTAAAGGACCAGGAGAAGTACATTAACTACACCCTGTTTGTCTATCTATTATATATGATGGCAATTTGTTAAGTTAGGAAGCACGTTTTTGTGAGCAAGTTTAATTTTGGGCTAATTATCAATTCTTAATATGCAGAATTAATGAAGACCAACACAAGTCTGAACCAATGTTGAACTAATAGCAGTATATAGCACAAAGTTGTATGTTTTTCGGTATACTTGCCCAAAGTGTTGCCACAATTGTTAAAATATGACAAATAAATACAATACTGAAAACAAATCACCAATACATTATATAATTTGCTTGCATGGCCCTATATAGATATCTTGATTGCTGCAATTGTAAAAGTCTACATTGTTTCTCTCACTGAATGGATGTTGCCCTGAATGTTAAAAACGCACAAGACAAATAAGGCAACACATTTCTATAAAGAAAATAGTAAACTTATTTATATTTATTTAGCTATTAGATTCCCTAGTTTTCACTTTTCTTCATAAACTACCACTTAAATGATGTAAAACTATAATAAATATTTAGTTTGGGTACTATCCCACTTAATAAAGTGAAACTACCGGCTGTAGTTGACCAAAGAAATTCTTGGTTGATTAAAAACACTAAAAATGGAGCGCGGCAAAAGCTCTCAAAATTATTTTTCTTATCTCTGTGGATCTGACCCAAACTTCACTAAACTACTTCTGCTTGAATCCATGCAAAAATAACTATTTATGCCGAAAAAAGTACTAGGAAACAATAAATTTATAAAAAAGACAGATTAAACTTGGAATCAAGAATCATGCCTTTTAGCAAATAAATACCAAAAAATACTAACACTTCAGCTAACTGACCTCACTAACTTCTTCTGTTCTTCTTCTGGACAAATCTTTATCATCTAAATACCATGATTAATCAATTAAAACTAATTTAAAGATAAAAAAAAGACTAATCAACTAACCAACTAATGGTCTACAGCCCTAGTGATAATTAGAAAAACATGTAAAACACTTTAGTATGAAGAATCCAACAGCAATTATGTTTCTTTAAAAGTATCTTAAATCCTGTTCTGTTTGACACTGTTCTTCTTGGATGAAAGCCCAACAACAAAAGCCAAATTCAGTCCAATTCTGGCAGCGGACGGAGCCTCTCCAGAGAGCAGCGCCGCCCTGGAGGATGCAGATAACAAGCTCACTGATACACTACACTTACTGCGGAGCCAGATGTCTGTCTACCTCTGGGTCAAGGCACACACCAGTGGGATTAGCATCTATTAGCAATGAAACTGGGCCAGATTGGACGAGCTGCTCATTTACCACTAAGCCCCTAAACTGACATCTAGTTAAAATTAATGACTCTTAGAAGTTAAGTGTCAAATCGAAGGTTGAAAGCAAACCTGTCCTGGTTTGATCCCAGTTTACTAGCTCTGTTTTAGTCCTGGTTAAGACTGAGGTACCCAACATTTTTTGTAAATGTGTAAATGTAGCTTTTACGAGTCTGTCAGAATTCAAAATTTAGGAATAAGAGAAATTGACAAAACCTGGATTTAGGGATAGAAAATTTGTGATCTGATCCCAGTGGAGTAGATTAACACAAACCAAGTCTAGATAAAAACTAAACTGGGCTCAAAACAGGACCAAACCAGGACCACACCAGGACCAAACCAGGACCACACCAGGACAAGTGTGAACATACATTAATTCACGGCCTTATTCTGGTTTAGGGCCGGGTTTAATACTAATTTAAATGTGTTTTAAGCATAGCCTCATATGTGAATGTAACCAGAATGCATGTACCTCTGAGTCCTCACTACGGAGCCCGAGCTGGAGCACAGCACTGGGAGACTTCATCTTGGACTGGCTGGACTGGGCCATCAGCAAATTCAACTGCCACCCCACGTATTCCAGCTGCAACACACAAGCAAACTTTATTTATATAGAAAATCACAAAGACCTTTGCAGAGAGCTGGGACACTACATATTGTGGTAGAAATTTTATAGAATAGAAATACAGTAAAATAACAGAACTTTCACACTAAAAAGAAATCGTCCTGGTGTTATTATTTTGCTATTTTGTCCATAAATCAAGTCCTATTCCTAATATGGAACTCGGCTCCAAATTTGCAAACCTCAGTGAGCTTCATTTGACTGGAGCCAAACACTATGGGTAAAATCAAACTCTCCTAGCCCACTTCTCAATGGTACAAACATTTGCTTAAATTTGTGTTGATACAAGTTACAGTATCTGGGTAGAATTTTTCACTATTTTTTGCAGTCATCGTCCCTCTCTCTGACTGGTGGTTTGAAACAGAGCGTTGACACCCCATCAACGCACAGTAACCTCTGATATATGTGTGACACTGAGTGGAGGCAGGGCAGTAAGTGTTTTATGATGGCGAGAGAAGCTGTGATAAAACTGCATCTGAGTTATAGGGTCTCAGGCCTGTACAGCATCGGCAGACAGGTGTGGTATCAACAAGGCAGGGCAATTTTATTTATGCCCACAACCAAATGAGAAATATTTTACAAGGGGGATGCAAATGAAAAATATTATATTACCAAGCGGGATGCACAGAGCGACCAAACGCACTCAGGTGTGGACAATTCAATCTAAATATCTTGATAAATATTTTATTACTATGTGCTAGCAGTAGTAACACGGGGGCCATAACTTAGAAGAAAAATCCATGTGTGTCTATTGACTTTCTGCATTCAGATACAGTTGCAGACTATATTGATACAACAAATACAACAACCAAAACCTAAATGAAACATACCTGAATATAAAGTTATATAAGAAGACCAAAAAATAATGATTGATTCTACATATATGTAAAAAAGCTTTTTGTTTGTCTACCGAGTTACACTGTAGATGCAGAACTTATTTAAAAAATATATTAAACTACAGATACACTCAGTTTTTTTCACTGGTTTTGCAGGGTTATGATTAATATATTATTGTTGTTTTAATAGCGTTGGAATCAGTTTTATGACACATTATCATTAATAAATCAGATCGGCACATTACCCATTATGATATCCAGGACAGTTGTAAATAAGGCCCATAACCATAACTGGATGAGAGGATGCTGGGCGTGTTTTCTGGATGTCGATGGATTGAGCATTAGTGCTACCAGGTGAATCTTCCTATACTATATAAAAGTTTTACCTTCTTGGGTGCAAAGATATTGTGCTTTAGTTTCTCCACCAGCTCGGGTCCAGCACTGGCCCAGGTTTGAGCAAAGACTTCAGCTTTGTCCTGGTTTAAATTAACAGACTCCAACTGCTGTTGTAGAGACGCCGGCTTCACGTTATGGTACACAGCCTACAAATGAAAAAATACAAGTTATTACCAGTGTTAATTTTGTTGACTTAAATATTTAGGTCATAGTTTTCATTAATGTCATTTTTTTTTTATGTCTAAAAGTAAATAAAAACTGAATAAAAAGGGGAACACGTCACACTTTCATTCTAAATACAACAGTGACACCAACTGGACAAAAAAGGAAAATCACGTAGCTGTATCTTTTACGTGGTTTATACATTAAAAATGTATTAAAAACTTATATTAAAATTACCTGTTCCAAAATGAAAGCTGAGGTCTCCAAAACAAGGCTCAGAGCTTGTTTATCGAGAGACAAAGCAGACTCTAGCTTCTGCTCCTCTTCTTCACTAAAGGTCCTCTCTCCCTGTGGACATTACGTATTAGGTTCAAGTCGCCATACAAAATGCAATGAGCATGTCGATTTCAATTTTTAAATTTGTGCTGTAGTTTTTGTTTTTCCTTGAAAAGAAGAAGCCACTGTCTGTGTGAATGTTCACGTATGTTAGTAGGCAAAACCTCCTCGTCAATGCCTGATCTCATCAGATCTCAGAAACTAAGCAGGGTTGGGCCTGGGATGGGAGACCACTGGGACAATCAGGAACCACAGTGGGGCGACAGTGGTAAAAACTGTCATTGTGTCCTTAGGCAAAACACTTCACCCACATTGCCCAGTATGAAAGTGGTGTGAGCGTGAGTAATGGTGGTGGCCGGAGGGACCGATGGCACAGATTGGCAGCCTCGCTTTCGTTAGTCTGCCCCAGGGCATTAATTACAGAAATGGAAAATTTTCCACCATTCCTGTATTGCAATAATACATAATTATTGTATAGTTTTATTACAATTCTATTTACTCTTTGATATTACAAAACATTTTAAAAACACAGGAAAAGTTTGAACTTCAGAGGGCTTTCTAAATAAAAAATAAGAATAGTTTGTTTGTATAGTCTAATAACTGCCCTAATAATTGTCTTGGCTGTGTTCATCATTGTACATACACTACATCAAAATAGTGACTACATTAAAACAAAAAATATTGCTTCTAAACCTGAAATTTAGGCTGCATTCATTCATGTTCTGTTTCCGTCCTGATTTGAACCCAGTTTATTTCTGTTTAAAGACAGGGTTTGGTCCTGGTTTAGTCCAGGTCACTGTGACAGTGCTCGTACCTTCAGGTGGAGTCTCTGGATGATGCGCGAGATCAGCCTGGAGAACTTATTCACGTCAATGGAGTTGATGAATCTCACAGCTTCTTTTATGCTTCAGGGGAGATCACAATCACATCAATGAGGTATAATTATTCAGTCAGACAACTCGAATATACATAATTATACATATGAATTACGTTAGGCTATGTCAGTATTTTGAACTATACAGAAACTTCTTAAGTAAGTCAAAAAAAAAAAAAAAAAGACACAATTTGTAGATAAGCTACTCGATGAAAATGAAATATAAATTAAAGCACTGCAGTAATGACAGTATAACAGAAATGCAAAGTGATGCGTTTGAGTTGTTCAAATGCCAAACGCACTGAACAGTTTATGAAACCAAATTTGTAATGTGTGTTTGTGTGTAATGTAAAATTTGCAGGATAAATCATGCAGCTACAGAACGGCTATTACAAGCTAAACGCCGAAAGCAAATAGGAGATCGATTACGCGAAATAAAACAGCACAAACCTCTGTGTTTCTTTGATAATTGAAGCCATATTCATGGACAAAAAGAAGTTTTATTTGTCAGAAAGAAGGCTGCAGCATCTTCAACATGCTCCTTCCTCACTGTACGAGTTTACTTCCGGGTTGTCACATGACCACGGTCATGAGACCAGTGCACTGCCACGAGACCAGCGTTAACAAAAACATTTTAAAATCACGGATCGATTTAAAATATATAATTCTACTATTTATAACTATTATTAATACACATCAGATTTGTGCGTATTGGTATTAGTATTATCTGGAGTAAAACAGAAATATAGCCTATTGTTGTTGGAATTCAACTTTATTTTTGAAGAAAAAGAAAATAATACAAACTCATGCTCATATCCAAAGAAAGATATATATAAAAAAAAAAATGAAATAAGATAAAATATTTTAATATATTTTTCATACCATAAACAAAAGTAAATCATACTTTTACATCCAATCACACAACACTTCTTATTCAATAAAATTTATTGTCTTGTAATATATATTTGATGATACAATAAGAGTTGAATTTATTCAATCAAGCAGTCTTTTTCTATAATAGATATAATTTCTTCATTTAATTGATTGATTATTTGGTCTGAAAAAAGCAAACCAATATAAAACTGCCCCCATGTTTTTCACCATCAGCACATTAGTTTAATGTATACAACACAAACAAAACAATTCAGGTCACAAACTTTCACAGATCTGTAGCAGGCGCAGCGCAACACTAAAGGTGCACTACAGAAGCTTTCTTGTGAAGGGTTTGTTATCTACATGGTGTTGTTATTGCTTTACCAGGAATGTTCCACACTATGGCATGAAATTGTCTTAATTTAGACTAGCAGATTATGTCATCAGGCCAAGTTACAGGTCAGATCTGTGGAGAGGTATTTCTTTGATCAATTAAACAAGATATAGTTGAATAATTATATTTGATATTTAATGCCATATTGTGGAACATTTCAAGCACAGCAGTAACATCTTCATGGAGACAAGCAGGTGCCCCCCCACCAGCAAAGTTACATAGTGCACCTTTAAGCACCAATGTCCATAGAGGCAGCGGGAATGTACCACTGAGAAATAAATACTTCACTTTAGTTGAAACAGAAAAAATAAGCAAAACAAAAACACCAGCAAAGGAGTTTCAAATCACTCAGTACCTTCCACAAGTATACTGTGATAAAGTAAGTTAATTGAGGTTTTGGTAAACAGATTGCATCTTAGTAAACACTGGCGGACATCTGCAGGCTGTGAATCACGACGCCACTATTTGAAGGAGGGCAAGTTTGGCACTTTTATACTGATGTCGCCTATGTTGATGTTTCGGGGCATTTCTGGGAGGTTCATGTTCTTTACAGCAGATACAGCACGAGCGGGTGCCCCTGCAATACCAGCCTAGACACAGAGAGGGGGAAAAGTTATAAGTTTAAAAATAAATGTTTATGTACAAGACAAAACAGTGAACGAGACACATAACAGTACAGCAGGGATGTCAAGATATCAAATTTTAGTGTTACGATTATTCTAAGTACCATAACTAAGCACTAAAATCCTTAATTGTCTTTCCTTCCCATAGTCTAATATGCTGCATTAGTATTGTTCAAATCTGTGAACAGCTTTATAAAATCAAACATTCTGAATGAAAACGTACAGTTAATGTGACATAAAAAGCCAAACTAAAAGTGTGATAACACTTTAAAATAACTATACTTTTAATAAAAAAGCATGTACAATAACTTTATGTATAATGAATAAATAGATTATAAATAATGATTCAGACTTAGTACCTATTTAATACTCAAAATCCTATTAAACAGTGACTGAGCCTGAATCATTCTTAATAAACTATTTGTTCATTATGAATTAAAAGGGCCCATATAAGGCTATTTTCTGATCTATATTAAAATCATCTACCATCACAAATATACCTAGAGTTGTGTTTTGTTTCATTCACCCATGTTTCACAGAAAAATCCTGCATATTTAGGCAGTTATTTTCTCAAAGGGAAAACACTCTTTTCCACCTTGTGATATCATGTGGTAATACAAGAAGTGCTCCGCCGTGTTTTTAAACTCCATGCACCTTTATGAGAATCATTTGGATAATTTCAGCTCTGGATTTGCCAATCTCTACTGAACTAACAGTGAACAGTAGGTAACTTGAAAACGACTGCTTCATGACATCACAAGGTGGAACAGAACATTTTGGGCTTTGGGAATATAAAACTCACAATAAAGGGTTACTCTTTCACATGTTGTGAATGAAACAAAACAACTCCGGGTATGTTTTTGATGAGGTAACACAATTCTAACAGGGCTTAAAGCTCACAAGAGTCAATGCGTAATAACCTTGTTCAAGCTTTCTTAAGGCTAATTTTAGGTGTAATTATTTTAAAGTTGTACCAAAATTACTTAAATAAAGGTTTACTTTTTGGAGCCTAGACTGAATTGAAAAGACTAATTTTTACTCCTAAAAAACACTAACAATTATTCATTTTTAGCTCTTACATTCTTCTTACATTGCTACCTGAATAAATATGATTACTAATTAGCCAGATAATCTTGACATCCCTTCAGCACAGCTCTAAAACAGAACAGACAAAATGCAAATGCACTGACAGCTACCAAAATACAGACAATATATGCAACAAATGAACATTCAGATGCCTTCAGAGCCTCATATGCACATGCAGTTATGTTTATTATGACTTACATCACAACCAGAGCCAATTATGAATCAAATATGAGACATATGTATTTGACTTGACCATTCACCAATTTTAGTACTTGGTATTTGTTTACATTTATCAAATCAGCATAGGCAGCAATGTTTGAAAAGTGGACCCACCGGACAGTTGAGGACCGAGGGTTGAAAAAAATGCAGGGAGAGAATTGGGTAAAGCAGAAAATGGGGTTGGAGTACATGAAGACATACAAAACTATCTGGGGAGATTTTAAATGGTGGAAATTGTATAACATTTAGCTATTATACTGTACCTGGTTGGCAACACTGGTATGAAAACAGCAAGACAGGGGCTACAAATAACGATGACCAATAAAAAAACTAAACTAAAATGACTATACAAAACTAAAATGTAGATATAGATGACATTGATCCTATACTGAGCTAACTATAATGTTGCTAATGGGCTACTGATGGCATGAGAGGTTTGAGCCTGTCACTAGGGCTGCAACTAACAATTATTTTAATAGTTGAATAGTCCACGATGATTAGTCTATTTATTTCTATTGGACATTGAGAACCAAAATAAATGTTGAACTATGGTGACTGAAGGCTTTGACAAATCAAACAGTAATAATATATAATAAGTGTATTATTGATAAAAATCTGAAATGTGTGTAACCAGTTCGTGATCACAAATTATCAAAATGTGATTATTTATTTTAATAGTTAACTAGTATCCCAATTAATCATTGCAGCCCTATCTGTCACTACACTGTTTTGAAGTAAAAACAAGGGGAGCTTGTCTGACGACTAATGAAACTAAACAGTGACAGCCTGCTCCAGTTCCAGAAGTAAACTTTTCATTCATTCTTCCCATAGGCTTTTCAAAGATTTCAGGCATTAAGAGTTCAGGCATCACAAAGGCTAAACAGCTGCACGGTGACTAATATCCAGAATGGAGTTGTTTTAAGTCTGAAAAGCACATTTAAAACACAAGATTCTGTGAAATGCTTTAATAACTTGGCAGTTTATAATATTACATAAGCAGATTTTAGATTAAATTAGAGGACTTGTTCTCATTAGTTACCACGTAGCTGATAAGCCCTGAGCAAGCTCTGAAACTTTTTATATTTCCTCAATCGTTTGTGAAAGTCTATGGGAAAAATTTATGGACAATTTACTTGTCCAACCAAGGGCAGGCGGTCACGGTTGAGCTCCATTAGAGTAACAGCTACAGGTTTTAGTTGTCTGTTTAATGTATATTTTGAACATTACTGTGTTAGAGATCTCCCCAAAGGAATCTTCAGTGAACAAACCCAAAAATTACTACACTGTGCGATGTTTGCTTCTGCTGAGTGTGAGAGAAGAGTTTAACCAACTCAGCCCATATCTGACACGGACACTGGGTTAACGTCTAGGTTAAGAATGTAGCCTCTTAACCCATGAAATGTTGAATGGACCACTTGTTCACAGGCCATTGCTCTCTGGCTCTTGTCGAGACAGGCTTAAGCAGACTAGGGCATTAGCTATGAGAAATGCAGCTCATGTGCCCAATTGATATTTTGCAGAGACATCAAGCTGGGGGTGTATTTCTATGGGGGAAAGTGTCTACCAGAAAAAGTTTTTAAATTGTCTGAAAACTCAAGAAAAAACAGAAAATGGTTTTATGGTGTTTATTAGGTGAAAAAAAAGTGACTAACTGAAAAACTATTGGCTAATGACTGCATTAAAATAAAGCTCAAATTACATCTAACTTGAATAACTTCAGACAGAGCAGAGCCTACAGTTAGCTTCACACCCTCAGGGAATGTTGATGATATCCGCTGCAAAGTATCAATATTTGAAATGTAGGCCAGTGAAAATGTACTGAAAATACTATCTACGAAAATTCCAGATTCAAAATCAGTGGTAATTTTGGGTTTGTTACGAAAATTCCAGCTGCGTGTGTTTTGTGTTAGTAATATCAGTGAATTAAATGGAGGGCCACGAGGAAAGACTGCGGGGAATAGACTTAAGTTTGGGTTACAGTACTTGTTGTAAATTTAGCAGTACCTGTGTCTACCTGTCCTGCCTGGTAGACTGAAAGATAAACGTCTGTAAAGAGAAAGAAGAATGAAAAGAACTAGGCAGAGTCAGAAAAAGAGGAGTGAGGAGTGTTAAAGCAGCAGATTAAAGTAATTACAGTTCATCTCCACAAAAAAATGACCTATCATAGACCGCATTTTGGGGAAGAAACAATCAAGCACGCACCGTTGATCAAAAAGAATAATGGAAAAATGTTTAATTCAATTAATTTACAAAATTAACTATTTTCTAAGGTTCTCTAAAAGCACGCGGTCTAAGATACGTCTATAAGGGAAGAGACAGAGCAGCCCTGATCTGTGTACAACAATCACAGGTTACTACAACTACAGCCACAAACCACCTTCAATAAAAAAAACAACTTTAGCGACTAACGGCTAAAAGAGAAGGATGCACAAGGCTGTTTCTGTGAGTCAACATTAGCTCAGCTCCAGGGGACACTTTTACCCACAGAGTAGAAATTCATCATCGTGATTTCATGAAATTGTCTCTGGCTGTCTGTCAAAATGTTTTACGTTTGATATAAATAAAGTTCTGTGCAGAAGCTGAGTGGGAAGCCAAGCAATGTCCTTGCAAAGAGAGCGCTCTAGGCAAGGACACTAGAGATGTTAGGAGCACATTAGAAAGAAAGGCATTTGCAACACTTAGAGCAGGTAAAACTATTGAAAATCCACATTAAACCTATAGCATTGTGATAAAACACTGACAACTGCCTGCTATGACTATGTTGAGTGATTCTTGAAATGTATCTGACAATGGAACAGTTCAGTCCCTGCTGTAATGACAAATGATGAGGCCGTATTTCAGAGTTTTGTGTCGGGAGCAGTGTAGCAAAAGTTTGAGGAGCACAAACACTTTTCATTGGAAGCATCCACAGAATCACTGGAGGAGCATGCAGGGTGCAGCATACACACATGCCTGCATACGGTGTACAAAACCCCGAGAACAGAGCGAATGTGGGATTGTATGGTGTCCAGGAGGGCACACACTCACCTCAGACTTCTCCATCTTGTTCTGAGCATCCACCTGTGTGATGATCTCATTCATATTGGTCTCAAGAACCATCCCGCCCATCACCATCTCAGCTAGAATGTTGTGCACCTGCCAAAAGAGACATCAGGTTCGGAAAGAATTTCAGAATTTCTCATTGTCCATAAATGCATAGCTTAATTTCATTAGGCAAAATACATAAAGAGGTTTAAAGAAGCACTATGTAACTTTTCTAATGGAGAGTCTGTTGCATGGATATGTTATTGCTCTACCTGCATGTTCAGTGGTATGGCATTAAACCCATCAAGCATACTGTGGATTTGTTTAATTATATGTTTTTCAATGCCTAGAAAAAATGTGGATTCTTTCTAGCTCTCCACAGATCTGATTTGTAACTTGGCCTAGTGGCGTCATTTGTCTCCATGGAGACAGATAAGTTTGGCAAGCAAATGCCGCCTTTAAAAATAATAATGTATTTAAATTATTAAGATTCATAAGGTTATTATTATCAAGATTATTAAGAGGATATACATTAGATTATTCATTCAATGTACACTCAGTGATGGTAAGCTTACTTGTGTAGCCACAGCTGCCCTGGGGTAGACTGACAGATGTGAGCCTCCCAATCTGCACCATCGGCCCCTCTGACCACTACCGATCACTTTTGCACACACAATATTTATACTAGGCAATGTTGGCAAGTGTCGGTAACAATAAGGACAGAACAAACTCTCTAACCCAAACAGCATTTTCATACATATTCTCAAAATGCATTTCTAAAATATAAATATTTTAGATTTCATAATTGTTTACATAATCATCAAGGGTGCAAATAAGGTGAGGCTAATCTTTGTATGTGAGTGATAAAAATGTGTTTGTACAGAGAGAAAAAACAAAAGCTATCTTATGTAACTTTACCTTATCTACATGGAAGATTAAGTCAAGCTCACAAACATTCTCAAAGCACTTGTCCAAAGTCTCCACAAACACCTTGGCACAAAAACAAACAAATTCAGTGACAAGATCAACTTGTGTGCACTTTATTATTAAAGCAGCGTTATCCTTTTGTTAGTGATATGTTATCCTTTTGTCTATATATTATTATATCTTAGAATTTTGTATCGTATTTTACATATTTAAAGTACAAGATTGCTGTAAAGCAGGTCCAATGATTCCTGTTCAAAATTGAAACCTGATTTGCACCTGCCCCCTAACGGTTTGTCACCACAAACATCATCACAACAAAGTATTACCCTGCCAGACCATGCTGACAGTGCATCTATGGATAGTTACAGTCCACAGATGCCAGTAGTGAATTAAAGAATTATGCCAGGAAAACCTACAATATTGCTGCTGAATCATATGTGTAACTCTATTCATATTTTTTCTTTCTTTTTTTTTTTATTAAAGAACAGAGTAGAATGAAAGGCTAGGTGAAAACAGGATTTATTTTTAACTTTTTGATTGAGGGTCCATCACCTGCTTATTTCTATAAAGATGTTATTGCTCTGTTTAATACCATACTGTGTAACATTTCAGACAAAGCAATAACATCAACATGGAGAAAAGCATTTGACGGACCCTCTACCGCAAAAGTGACACAATGGACCTTTAAGCAATGTGAGTGAGTTAATGATGAGTGGGAAAATTATGAATTATAACATGATTTTTGCATTGCATGTCCATACATCTATATTCTGTCTCCTTTAACATTTTGAAACAGTTAAATTACCTGGATTAAGTCTAAAATTCCTAGTTCACTCTCTGATGAGTCCACACAGAAGACAAAGTACAGAGTAGCATAGTGTCTGTAGATGAGCTTGTAGTCTGATCCTCCAATCAACCTAAAAGGACAAAAACATGACAATGCAATGAAATAGTTAAGAAAAACATATTTATTATTAGAACATCCCCTTCTACTACTCTCTTCATATTGATGTCAGATTAATTTATTAATGTCATTTGATTTATAGACTGTGACTGAGGTCACTTAAGGTTAAAGCCATGGGGTGTTCTGAGGTGTGCCCCTTTAAATGGCCTGAGTTCACACGCTATGGACATGTTATCACTCATGAAATGATAACAGAGATAACAGAGATAAAGCAATGAAATTAATATAGCAGTAACTAATATTGCCTTCTACTGAATCTGAAAGGAAATCCTCCATGATAACGTGTAATAGACCAGGGCAATAAAGTGAATTTTAATCATAATTACAGTTATTGCCCCGATCAGTTATAAAAGATGTAATTGTATAAGTCATTTTGTAATGAATGAAATGGCACATCACACTCTGCCCTCCTCTCATCCACTCAGCATGGCTTCAATAATCATAAAACAATACAAATAAGTGTAGTGTTCTTTGCAGGTTAACTGTAAAATCAGTTTACATTTCAATGATGACCTATAGTTTCAACTTGGGATGCACTGATCCAGAGTTTTCAGCTCCAATACCAATGCTGATACTTTAGCTGTCTATCGATGCCCGATATTAACCAGTGTAGAGAGAGAAAATTGACTTTTTTGCCACAAAACAGTTAACATATAACAAAATTGTATTATACAATTGTTCTTTACCCTGTAAGTAGCAACACAGCAACTTAATAAATAAATGTATAAATAAAAGTTCAAATATTTTTAGAGGTCCTGGGCCTACTTCACACAGTACTAGTAAATGGTCTTATTACATCAAAATAAAGCTGAATCGACATCATGGAACTGATGCTTGCTGATATTTGATACCACTATCTATATCGGTGCATCCCTAGTTTTAATTTCAATTATGGCCCAAATAATTTATGATTTTTATATCCCCTAATTGTAGAGTCTCAATAAGGAAAAACATAAAAAATTACTTAACACTGTGTAATTTAATTAAATGTAGGCTAGTCATTTGTGAAGAGTAAAGAGATGTCCACTGATGTAAAACAACACCAGTTCATGAAAGATAGATGAGAGCTGCAAAAACTATTACAGTTAGAATTACCTGTCGCACACTAAAAACTACCTGTGTGGACCCGGGTTGTCACTACACTCAAATTTCAAACTCAATTTCGATAGTAAGGAATTGACTCAATGCTTGACACCAAATCTGATACCACAATGAAGATAAAACTTGCTTTTTTTCATTAACAGAATGTAATTTTCATACACAAAATAATAATACTTTCTTCATGTTACCATCAGGTCATCATTTCTGATTAAGCTCAAAATGGCCAGGAAAGCTTACATTTTGTCCTGTTAATGTGATTTTTTTGTAGTATCGATACTTGCTCTAATGAGCATTTAGTTTTGATATTAGTTTTAGTAATGATTAGTATCCGATTTTCAATACTTTCAACAGCCTTATTGTGGACAGATCTTTGTATTTACTTAAATTATTTGGGACATATTAGAAAATGGAAATCACAATTATTTGAAACCTGTATCTGTCAACCTGATAGTAATATTTACTGATGCACTATGTGACATTTTCCTATATTGCATTAAACTTTTTCATCTCCGTGGAGACAAGTAGGTGCTGTCACCGGGGGCAAGTGGGAATTCAAATGAATAAAAAATAAACAAAGGAAAGTACTGAATTTTTTACTTACATTCCCCCTTCAAGGAAATTGCAAACATTCTCATCTCTTTTCGAGACCAAGTGAAAGGTTTCCCTGATGATCTGCTGTTCTGTGTCTTCTGTCTGCAAGAGAAAGAAAATATAAGATTATGACATCAGACTCAATTTATTTTAGTTTTTAATGGATAAACATTAAGAGTGTGGACTGACAGTTTCCTTGCAGGATCCTTTGCCGATGAAACGCTTAAGCCTTATTCAAACTTAAATATTGACACGGGCGTAAAGGCTATTGAGAAAACGTCATCTTCACACAATCTCTGCAGGGTTCAATTTTCATAAGATTAAAAATGGTTTCCAGAAGTAAAGAAAAAATTGATTTTGAGAACTTAGGACTTGTTTAAATATGATATAGTCCTGTTTAAAAGGTGGGCAATATATTGACTTACTGATAATATTGTAAAGGCCGTATTTGAAGATACACAGCATTTGAATATCAGGTATGATTATTATTATTATTATCATCATTGGGTATTATTATGAAAAGACAGATTTTTTCAGTTGAGATCTGTGTGCATTTTTATGGGTGATTTTACAGTCATTTCCCATTTGTGTGAAAATGCCTCAAGCAATAGATTTAATGAAGTATTTCAGCACATTACAGTAATTGACAAAATCATGTTATAATGTTATAGAATTGCTACTACATAAACAAAAAAAGATATTTTACCTAGTAATATTAATATTTGTCAATAACACCCATGTCTAGTCCTGTCATAGACCTGATTTAGATCTGGTAGAACCCTAAAAAGGTCAGATATTTTCTTAAGAGATACATCTAATATATATATATATATATATATATATATATATATATATATATATATATATATATATATATATATATATACACACACATATATACATACATAAAACCATGGATGCTAAATGTGATTACATGGCAGACTCTTGCAATATGTTTCTAGATAAGTCTAACCTGATTATTATATAGAAGTAAATTCAAAAGGTAAAGTACTAGTTTTGAGGTTGGTTAGTACAAGGAGAGAAGAGGGACTTGCTGCAGCTGGAAGGCTGGACCAGTCACGTGACCAGAGCCATGGGACAAATACTATTGTGATGTATTTCTAATGGTAACATTGGAAAGCCTGAAAAATAGATACGCGCTCATAGTTGGGCTGCAAGATTAACTGTAATCAAATCAAAATCGCAATTGGAATGGTCACAATTACCAAATCACACAAGCTGCAATTTTTAGCACCATAATTTTCTCCATAAACAACAAAATATCCTGTCTTATTCTGCATATAAACAGATAACCCTGTAGTTTAGATCTGTACAAACATGTTCCACAATGCTATTCTTCTATTAATTTCTCAGTTCATATTTTAATTTCTTTAAATGCTTCTGGACAGGATTAAAATTAACTTTGAACACAATCCTATTAAAAATCTCAAATAGATTAATCTAATCACAATCGCACTGCTTGTTAGAAATCGTGCAGCCCAATTCAGTGTTCAGGGGAAGATGGATAAGACAACTCTGAATAAGATACCACTAATTCCAGCTATCTCCACCCAGACTTATAATTTAGGCAATGCTGTGTGTTCCACTTTATAAATAGAGTGGATGTAATAGCTTCTCTCTGGTGCCATCTGCAAACCCCTGCCTGGACAGTTGCTGAATTTATGTGATATAGATTTAAGATGCAGGCCCCTCTCCTTCAATAATTACACAGATGCAGAAGACGGGGTAATCGTTTCTACTTTGCAACTCATCACATCATATCCATCCATAAACCACTTTCTATGCAATAATAGAGTAATTACATGTCTTATATTTGGACATCACATCTTACACAACAGCTTGGGCGTAACATTAAAGGTATACTATATTACGCAAAACACTTGACAAAACTCTGACTCTTCTGAGCTTTAAGCCATATTATAATGTTATTACCTCCTTAAAAACATACCCAGAGTTGGGTTTTGTTTCATTCACATATGTTTGCATAATCCTACATCTCCAAAGTTCAAAATGCTCAGTTCCACTTTGTGAAGTTCACAGGTACTTTTTACCTTTAGTTCAGTAGAGAATGGCAATTCCAGGGCTGAAATGATCCAAATGATTCAAATGAAGGTGTATGGAGTTTAAAAACACAGTGGAGCAATTCCTGTATTACCACATGACATCACAAGGTGAAAATGAGTGTGTTGTGTGTCAATGAAACAAAACACAACTTGAATATTTCTTCTATAATGATAAATAAATTGCAGGACCCTAACAAAGCATACACAAAACTTTTCAACAACCGAGCAATAATACTGGGGGTGTTCTACATGTATCTCTATGGTCGAATGTTCTGCCATGTTGACAAAATGCACAAATTAGCAAACACTCTCAAAAAAAGTTGCAAGATTGCCTAAAAATAACTGGATTCAAACAACACATTTTCAGGAGCCTGTGATCAATCCAAACGTTCATGGTCCTTTCAGATTATATTAAACTCAGATTAAAGTGTAATAGGGTTTCAGACAGAGCAGTGCCTGCAGTTAGGATCACACCCCCAGGGAATGTTGAAGACATCACCTGCAAAGTATTAATTCTTTCTATATTTAACACCCAAAATTGCAAGTAAAAACAGTGGCCAATGAGATATAAACTATATACCAAGACGGTAACATGACACCTAAGCTGCAACAGATGGCTAAGCCCCCAGCGTAATATTCAATTTAAATTGTTTATTGTCCACAGTTCAAAATGTGAAATCTAATCCGATGTACTGCCATAGAAAACAATGGCTTTTCCTATGCATCCTATTTTACTCAAATACTACTGTGTAGTAGTACCCCATAGTGAACATCAGTGTTGTAGAAGTTGTCAGCTTGTCCAAGAAAGGGTGGAAGTAAAAGGCTGGACACCAACTGGATGACTTGAGCAAGAGAAGTTTATTTACCATCAATAATATGGGCCCGGGGGGATTTGAAAAGTCAACATACCGGTTGTATGATTTCAAAAGTGAACATAGTATGATCTTTGAGTGTTCAAGCCCCTTGACTCTGCTTCCAAAGGAGGAGGTTTTTAAAGCAAATGTGGTGAGACTCTGAAGGCCAGTAGGCACCAGTTAGACAACAATATGCCACAATTTAGATAATGGTATGCCAATGGTATGACAAGGGAAGATCATGGTGGAAATAAAGGTTTTGTGAGTCAATGATAAACTGAGATGTACATGGAAGATAAATTACTCAAATTCTCTTACAATCAGGCCAGTCACAATAATTACTACATTGGCTTATCGTTCAATTTTTTTTTTTTTTTTTTTTGAATTTGTGATCAAATTGAAGCCGTAAAAGGTTGAATTAATAACTTCTATGGCTCACTACAGATGCAAACTAAGTACAAAAGTGTTTCATTTTTGCAGCTCATGATTTTAAACCATATTGTACATTTAGAATAGTTTTTGTGGTTTAAATCTGCTCTTTCAGTTTCAGTAGTATCCACTTTAAAATGACTAAACGTGACAGGCCTAATGAACATATTCATTCAGTAATTTAATGTAAATTTAATCAGTCATTAAGAATCGGTTTTGTTGTTGGGCACACGGGTAAAGGGCACTGCCTGCGTCACCAGCCTATTGTCCTAATAATAAAGCAGGGGGACAGCCGAGCCCTTCACAAATAAATCTACTTAAGAATATGCTAACGTGGTTTATCCCCGAAGGATATTACGTAAGCTTGTCAGTTGCAATCTGGAGTAATTATTTGAGGATTTATTGAATACTGAATGTGGCCTGGTGTTGCAAATGTGTAATATGCGGGCAATTACATCACCCGGGGTAATAGCAAAGGCACGAGTCTCTCACAAGGGCGTTATTAAAGTCATGTGATACAAACAGTCAACTCCGAGCAGCGGCGGCACACAGCTGGATGGATAAAGCGCCATAGCGAGCAAAACTGGTCGCTTCCCTACTCCAGTGAAAGCAGATAGCCTCGCCTCGGCTTGCATGTGTTTAATAATTCATGTTTTAAAGGGACCGCGGAGTAATTCTTTGATTTTTCATAGTTTCTAAAACAATATCTCCGTGCGTCTCCGGTTTACGCACACACATGCCCATCAAGCTGTTGTCAGGAATCTCATATTTCCTCTTCACAGAATATCACGAGTTAAGGGCTTTAAATTAGCCATTTATTTTGGTCATTGACTGCCACAAATACACTGAGGTACAAAGCTAAAATAAAAACGCAATGACAGTAAACTTACGTAGTGCTCGTAGAATTTGGAGAGCCGTGGTTTCCCGTGGTTGTTGAAAATCAGAATGGCTTTAATCATGATGGAAGCGGAGTGCAGGGAGACGGGAGCAGAAAGAGACCAGTCTGTGAAAGACTGTAGTCTGCCAACCCCCGTGGACCCAGCTCTGACCGGGATTCAGGACAGATCCAGGCTCAGATCGAGGCTAATTCAGATGAACCGCGAGCCGCACACTCTGCTCACCCATCGTCTCCATACGGAAATGGTCCACGTCAAACGCAGTCATGCCTTCTCCCTCCTCCAGGAGCTACAGCAGCCGCGAGGGCTCAAACAACAGGCTGATACCCCCCTCTCTGGTTAGTTGGTAAGGTAAATAGACTTGAAGTAACAATTCATTAGTTAATAGGCCACATAGCCTAGGCCTAGAAACTTACCATGCACATTTTCTGAGTATCCTTAGTTATGATTTTTGCACTAAAGTTACAGCATTAAATGGCCCCATAAAAGCATCCCAAGCTCCACTAAAACAGCTTTAAACTAAAGTAGCCTTATTTGTGTTTGATAGGCCTAGATATCAATTTCCTATTTAAAAGCATATGCGCATTAAAGACTTGAGCTCTGCAGATATTTCTGTTCAGCCTCTGTCTGTGGTTTTCCTTAACACTAAACATGGACCATTTCAAGTATGTGTTACTGTAGAGGTTGTATTTTATCCCTTAACTGGGCACCCATGAGACAAATTGCTTGCTCCTAATGGAAAACGACAATGGCATGACTAAAGTGGGGCTATTTTAAACAGAATCTCAAATGATTGTAAACAGCAATAGGCCCCGTTGCATTTTAATTATGCACTCTTATAATCTGTTATTCTCAACAAAAGATACATTTGCGTTTTTACATTTAAATGTGCTATTAACAGTTTGTAGGCTCTTTTTTAGAAACACAAAATATGGGTGAAACAACTTTATTTTTTTAAAGAAATAATATTCTTACTCGAGTACAGTGTTGGCTCTGTCTTCCTCATCCCCAGAGCCTGTTGAAAATGTTTGACGGTTCTCATTTTGGCCACGAGGTGTCGCACTTGTACTTATGACGTGGCGACTGGAGGGAACTTGGCATCTGCAGATGTGCTAAAAGAATTCCTCCTATAGGACTCATTCCTGGATAGTTTTTTTTTTTGTTGTTTTTTGTTGTTTGTTTTTTTTTTTGTTTGTTTGTTTGTTTTTTAAAGCCAGAGAAAACAAGTTTCCATTAACCCATAGAAATGCAGACAGTAGCCTGGGTATAGACTGTCACAAACTGTTTTACACTGTTTACCATGTGGGCTAAATAATGAATAAAGTTCAATATTCTAAAGACATGAACATGAACATTTTAGTATCTGGTTTTTGCACGTTTATATGTTTCACCCTTGTCACTGAGTTTATCTCATCTTATTATTGTTTGTTTGTTTGTTTTTTATCTCATTTTTATTGGTAATGTCTGTTGCAGATTTATTTCACTGTCATTAGATAATCTTTCTATAATCATTAAACCTATTTACTTCCCCCTCGAGCTCCCTTCTGTTACTGGAATGGCATCTGACTACACTGATTAAACATTTCATCTTTATAATTTTTAAAATATTTTCTATTCGTGACACTTTGGATGTTGGCATCATCTCATACTTTTTATTGTATTTTTTACCACTATCCCAGATTGGATTGCTTAGTGTGCAGTGGCCCCTGCATGTTGGCCATTAATTTTCGGAAAATGGGGACACAACAAAGAGTTTGAGCAGCTATTGTCGCACAGAGGCCCTTGGGAGAAAGTACTAAAAGGAATGAGCAAAGAAGAGGTTCTGTTTGTGACAACGTGTAGGGTAGAACCGGCCTGAAAATGGGCTGGTCCACATTTTTATGGAGTAAATTAAATAATATGTAATTATGTGAAAGCAAATAAAACTCCCAATGTGCGTTATGTTTGAGTAAATTGTGCAAAAGCATCAACGTTTAATAGAAATGTAGTTAACTAAATACATAAACTAGTCTCAGTATTGGTTGATGTTGTGGCTTTTTAGGGGCGTACACCCTTCTCCAAAGTGGTACGGTCCATCCCTGTCTTGTTGCAGCGGTAGCCTATAAAAAGTAAGGGACTCGGCAAAGTTGAATGCCAAAATCTGGTGAGCAACAACAAAGCTCAATCAAAAAGAAGCGACGAGCCCAGAAAAACTGCACCCCGAAATGGAGCAAACCGAAGTGGTAGTGCCCAAGACTCTGGATGAGTTAATTGCCATTTTGCACAAGATTTTTGAGAGTGACTGCATCAATGTTGAAGAGGTGCAACAAATAATGGAATCATATGAGAGCAATCCGCAGGACTGGAAGAAATTCGCAAAGTTTGATCAGTACAGGTAAAACACTTTTTATGCTTTTTTGCATCATTCCGCCTAGGTAGTTAACCATTTATTAGACAAACTTTATCACGTCTTATAGATTTTACTTCACATGAAAACGTATTGATCAAGGCCTAAGCAGCATTTAGCCTATTTAAATAGTCACAAAAATCAAGTATTGATTTAAAAATGAACTGTTCCTTTTTTTTAAATCCCTGATGCCGCGTTTGAAGCAGTGCCACGGTGCGTCTCATCGTGAAGACTCCGCTTTATTACTGCAATTTACAGTAGCCTATAATATTTGTGCATTTTATTTGGGTATAAATCTTATAAACACACCAATGTTTGAACGAAATTGAGTGGTTCCCACACTAATAACACATGCCGCTGTCGTCACATCTCATTTGAATAAAAAACACTTCACTTGTTTGCGCTAATGATCTTTACAGAGATTTACGCACGCATCTCACGTCCCTGTTTAAGTATCGAGGCGATTACAAACATGAATTTAAAATATGTTTAAAGGTATTCGGGGTTCCTCTAGTGTGAATGTTAGTTTAATTCAAGAAACTCGGAGCTTTGGTGTTTTGATTAGAAAGGGTCAATGGAGGGAGTGTGGTCGGGCGTCCAATCAAAGTTGAGGACGGAACACACCCGCTGTTTTTTTGCTGTGATTTAGCGCTTGTTGCGTGTTTGGCAACATACAGCTGCCAGGGAAATTTCTCGAGTCTATAAGCACACAAGTACTGTAGGAGGCTATAAGATGAACACGTGTGTAAAACTCAGCTGTTGAAGCCCCATGTGAAACTGCAGAGCCTACAGGCCCATGTCTAAGCATTTGCCTCCTGTCACAGCACAAAATATATGTTTTTTTTTAGGTACACGCGAAACTTGGTGGATGAAGGGAACGGAAAGTTTAACCTCATGATCTTATGTTGGGGAGAAGGCCATGGCAGGTAAAACAGTAGTCCCACATTCATATTTTTGTCCTTTCATTAGTCTAATGAAGATCTGACAATATGTGGAAGGTTGAAAAGGCTACCATGTTAGAATAAAGAATGCTTGTATTATTATTATTATTATTATTAATCATCATAGTATCCAGTTGTGTTAAGTGTACTGATCCACGGCTGTGGTTTGTGTGCACATTGCAGTAGTATCCACGACCATACAGACTCTCACTGCTTCATGAAGCTGCTCCAGGGTCAGCTTAAAGAAACACTCTTCGAGTGGCCTGAGAACAAAAAAGGAGTGATGGTCCAAAAATCACAGAGAGTCCTGGTGGAAAACAAGGTGGCCTACATAAATGGTGAGAAGTCAATTTTATACTTCATGTTTTCTAATCGGTAGTGACTGATCTTAGCTTGCACCACCAGGTGTTGAGGGGATTAATAATGTTCTGTAAAGAGTACAAAAAACCTCTATATAAATCAAATGCATTATTATTATTATTATGATTATTATGATGATGATGATTATTATTTTTGTATATTGTATATGTCTTTGGTAATATGACATATGCTTTAGGTTATGTTTGACAAACCCTTTTACCCTGGTACATATGGTACAGTTTGTTCCATATGACGTTTTACATAAAGTACATCCAGCTGTTCACAGGCCACTTAAAGGCTCTTTTTCCCCTCATGTATGCAGCTCGTATGGAGACGCCATGTACTTTTAGGTGTCTTGACTTATAAAACTGCTCGTATCCGTTCATGAAGCTAAGACCCATTTTATAGCATTTTTGTGGCTGTACTGTAAATGTATGTATGTTTGCAGACTCCATTGGCCTGCACCGTGTGGAGAACGGGAGCCACACAGAGACTGCTGTCAGCCTGCACCTGTACAGCCCACCCTTTGAGACCTGCCAGACGTTTGACCAGAGGACCGGCCACAAAAACACAGTCAAAATGACCTTCTGGAGCAAGTTCGGTCAGAGGACTCCATTTGTAAGAAAACGCTTTTATTTTGTCCATCTGAAATGATTGAGCTGAAATTTACTGAGTCAACATATCAGTTTAAATAATTCAGATTAGGTAATAAAACAAAAAACAAAAGCACACAAATGTATTCAAAAATATAGCTGAGACCATCTACCATTTCTTGTCTGACCTTAAGATCAGGAAGTAATTTTATTTTTATTGCACTTATTACTCTTGATTGAACCCTTAGGTAGTTGGAAGGGCAAGAAACTATGAAAGAAAAATCCCCAGGAGGTGTGTAATAGTTATATGATTTGATCACCCAAGTGGGGCTCATTGTCTGCTTCGGGCCACGCTTTTAACCATATTACCCTTATCTAGCTGCTTCAGGTTATATAAGCATACCTTGACCATAGCAGCGTAAGGTTAACGCATCAGATTGCAACACTAAATAGTAGAGATAAGATAGAAGTGGCAACTAAAGTACACAATCAACTGACAATAAATGCCAGCATCCCAGCTAAAGGTGTTTTTCCATTCGCTGCTAAACTATCACCTGTCACGAGGAAAAACTAATTTATGTTTTCTCTTGTTTCTTTCAGGAGCTAACAATGTCACAAGAAAACAACTGAAAACCACAAAAGTTTGATTATGTGAGCATTTAATTAAAGGGCCTATATTAGACTATTTTCTGATCTATGTTATGACGTTTCCTCATCACAAACAGACCAGATTTGTGTTTTGTTTGATTCACACATGTTTAACACAAACCCTGCATATTTAGGTCGAGTTCTTCTCTCAAAGAGAAAACACTCAGTTCTACCTTGTGATGTCATGTGGCAATACAGGAAGTTCCCCATTGTGTTTTTTAAACTCCATACGCCTTCACTAGAATCATTTGGAAAATTTCAGCTCTGTGTTTTCCAATATCTACTGAAAGAAAGGTAAATGGTTAACTTGAAAACTACTGCTTCGAGACATCACAAAGTGGAACAGAACATTTTGAGCTTTGAAGATATGGATAAACTAATAATGCAGGGTAAGTTAAGCATGTGTGAATGAAGCAAAACACAACTCTGGGTATGTTTTTGAGGAGGTAACAGCATTATAACATAACTTGAAGTTCATAGGAGTTAATTTAGCAAAATATAGGACCTTTAAACATTTGGATTGTGATTCATTCCAAAAGGGAATTGCTGTGTAAGCAAATGCGCACCTACTATGACTAAGCATCCTATTTAAAAATGAGTAGCGGGCCCGTAGAAAACGACAACCCAGTAATTAGAATGGCTTTATCGCTGCCCTATGTGAGCTTGGCAAATACTGATGAGCACAGGACGAATGCATGAATAGGCCTGGACATGGACTCAATCTGCCTTTTGTCTGCTAGGCCCGAGAAGACCCTTTTCCAATAACAACATTCCTGTCCATCTGTGACCTGTGTACCCACTCCAGTTCACCACCAGTTTTAGTCATTTACAAAATGTTATGAATATGCAAAAATGTAGTATTTTTACTGTTGATTTGACCCAGTTAAAGTGTTATGCCACTTGTTGCATTGCCTGTACAGTTGGATTAAAATGCCATGTTCCATTTGTATTTGAAACTGTGTAAAGCTTTAGAGTTGTGCTGTTTTTTTATTGCAATTGATTTAATTTATTTGCAGGGTATTCGGTTCATCAAAGAAACTTAGAAAGAGCCCTATAACTCCTTACAGAATCCATGACATGTTTTTATTTTTGAGACAGTCTCGGTAATATTTTTCTCAGGATTTGAAGATATTTGTAGCGCAAAGTATAGTTTTTGTAGTTGTAAAGAAAATACCACTTATAGCCTTAGCAATTGTGTCCATGGCTTTTTGGCATGACTGCAAACTATTAAACACACTTGCTCTTTCAAATACTGGCTTTGTGTTTTCAGTTTACTGCACATTATAAACCATTTTCACACCGTTTAAACGTGTCTGTCAATGATGTCGACAAACACCCGTGGCTTAAGTTATCTGTGTACAATGTAAACCTGTTCAAATCAAATACAGCTTTTACTGATTACAATTCTAATGCTGATGTATTCTTAGTTGCAAAAACATTGGACACAGTATCCCATTTATCCTGGTTCTCAAGATGGTGATCCAATCAGGAAGCAGAATGACCTCTCTCATTTGGGTGGCCAATTTCAGTGCTGACAAATCCAGCTGGTTTAAACCTAAAATGCCTTTCTCAGATCTGAATGGTCACTAGGTAAAACCCCAGCACCAGCAGCCAGCCATTAGTGCTAGTGCAGCCTTTTTGTTAATTCTTCTAAGGTCTGAGCTTTCACATGAGGCATGGTCCATCCATATACAGAGGAAAAACGTGTCCTGGTTTATTCATTGACAACTCAGGTCCAGTTGTGAGTGAAATAAGCCTGTCAAGATAAATATATAGACTTATCATTCAATATATGATAGATGGAACAGTATTTTGTGGGGACAGTATTTATCGTAGGTATTTTTCTTTGCAGGAGTGAGATATTTTTGTAAATTTTTTGGGAATAATGTTCATATAGTTTAGTGCAAAATGTCTGAAAAATGCAAAGATAGCCCATTGTGTTACATTAGAAGAGTGGGGGTGAGATTAAATCAATTTTCTTCTTCCCACTCCTTTTTGGGCAAATTTTTTATTGTTATGGTTATGGTATGTGGTTATTTTCATTGCTATTATGATTTCACTTATGTTATTTTTTGGGAATATGATAAGATTTGAGCTGTAGAAGGTTGAATACATATACTTATATATATACATAAACTAATTACTTAAGTGCTAGATTCTATTATTTAGTTATTTATGATTATGTGTTTTTAAAATTGTACGTTTGGTTTATATAATAATATGGTTTATATTTATTTAAGCAATACATCACAAAAATGTATAACAAAATTTGTTTCTGTGACAGTCTGGACTGTAACTACCTCTTCTAAAACAGTAAGAGCACAGGCTACATAAAAGTACATCACTCAGATTTGTAACTGGCAGTAAATTAGATGTGTCATATTGAACTTTGGTATCGATCAATGCCCTGGTTATTAATACAGCAAATGAATGATGCCCCAATAAACTTATTAATCAGGGGCATGAGAGGTCTTTGGCTTGACTGAGTCTTGGCAGCTTTATATGGGCCAGAGTGACGGCATTCCTAACAAGGCCATGATAGAAGTTCAATGAAACTAAAACGTGTGAGTTCACAGATGAGTCAACAATTTGGTATACCACTGTGTTTAAACTACATTATGACTATTTACATATTCTTTAATTGCAGTGATAACCTATAGCTGCTTCTAGTGGAACATGTCTAGGCCCTTGCGTCTATAGATTTCAGAATCAGAAAATTAAGCCTGTTACCAAAGTGTGTAACAATTTAAAGGCACACTATGTAACTTTTTGGTTGAAGGTTCGTCACCTTTTTCTGACCTGGTCTTGTTTGGTCTCCTTTGAAGATAGAAAGGTTCAATAGCATACTGTGAAGCATTCCAGACAAAGCAATAAGACCTCCACAGAGAAAAGCATTTGACAGACCGTCCTCCAGAAAAGTTACACAATGCACCTTTAAAACTAAATATTATATCTGGAATAGAAAAAAGTCCTTACAATCTTGAAGCTGAAAACCAATAATTTGACACATATATTTCTTTTTTTTAGTCCTCATACTACTTCAGCCTAGTTTAATCCCATTTTTGACCAGTTCTAGGTCTGATATAGTCCTGTTTTAGTCTTGATTTAGATCAGGTGGTTCTCGGAAAGCCAAATCTTTTGTTAGGTGGTGTTTTGGTGTGAAAAGTTGGATAAGCACAGGGATACGGGACTGGTTTACCAATGTCTGCCCTCTGTTGACTGTTACAAAGATCAATAGTTACTCAAACAGCTTATGTGCGTCACAAGACATGTTTGTCCATCGTACCGCCTCTGGTTAGGTCATCTTAACTTTGTTTTCTTATGCAAATATACAAATTGTTTTAATTTTATAATCATTTTTAGTTGATGATATTTTACAACATACAACTGTGTATTAATGCATAATGGTTATTACTACACAATAGGCTTCACCTGCTTTTCTCTTGTCACTTTTACAGCTGTTATAAACCAGATCTTTATCTTTGTGATTATTACTGTAGACTGATTTTGTTTTGAGATCTTTGCACTTTCACACAAATTGCCCATGTCCTTCACTTGTAAACAGAAGCTGATGATCATCTCAGCTTTTAACCTGTTAATATTTTATTTTGATAGATAATGATGATGAATGAATGATGAATTTACTTTTAGATTGATACTCTTATTATCTTCTTTTCATTTTATCATATTAGTATTATTTGAAAGTTACCTTAGCTGCTTTTGAACATAAAAGCATTTGAGTTTGGTGTCAGTACCCAGAAACTAATCAGTACTAAAATTAAAAACAGTTAAATAACTTAATGGATGCAGAAGATAATTTTATTAAGAAATTGCTGGATGGTCTGGTCATTTTCTTGTTTTTATGAACTATAACATCAGCCTGCCCAGGGAGAGGGTTCAGTGCTTCTGTCCTGTATATTATACACTGTCCCTTTTAATATAAATAAACCTTATATTGAAACTGTACTGAAAAAAGTACATAAACCTACCTACCTATAGTTTTAAAGTAGTATAAGGCCAGATAAAGAGACATCTATTATTATTTTGTGTTAATTCATCAAATGTCTCCTCTGTGTTTTTATTATCTACTTTGTATTGAGTAGGATATTGAGTCTTTTCCTTCGTATTGAAATCACTGTTGCAATGTTAGTATCATAATACTTGTTCAGTTAAATAAAAGTACTGGGAGGTTGTAATGGTCAGCATGCCCCAAAAAATAAATAAATAAATATAATTCAAGCTTTGAACATGTGCAGTTCTGCATCTGTAGATTTCCTTTAATAGGTAACTAAAGCCATGTTTTGCCTCTGACAGTTTGCGTGACCAGCCAATCACGCTTCTGCATTCTGTTTGACTCCAGAAGAGTCTGGAATCAGACCATCGAGCATGGAAAACCTCCCTCTACATTGAGGTGGTCCAATCACAGCTGCTAATTTTTATCACGAGTTTCTTAAAGGTGGAAGGCATCTCCTCTCAAATATTCTCGAATAATTCAGAACAAATTAGCCTACAGAACCTCTTTTACCAGAGACAAATAAGAGTTTGGTGCTCTGCAGAAATCCATGCAAGCATTTTTTCCCTTTTTTATTCATAAGCCACCATGTTTGTTTTGACATGATTCTACCATGTTTTTCTCTGATCAAAATACCTACCAGTCAATCACGCCCTCTGAAATCAGGGAGACAGGAGACAACTCCAGATCCACTTGTCTTTGTAAAGTTTTGTCAAAGTGTGTGGTTTTGGCTGGCCAGGTAAATGATTTGTAATAGTAAGCATTGTGAATATAGGCAATAAATAAGACAATAAAATAAACTTAGCAAAAGAAACATTTTATTTTGTCAACTAGACAGACGTTTTTAGAGTGAAGACATTTCACCATTCATCATTTTCACTCTAAAAACTTTTGTCCAGTTGACAAAATGCATTTAAACTTTTGCTTTTTCATTTGATTAACTGCACAGCCCCACTTCACTGTGACTGAGACTAGACAATGCAAAACAACAACTACTACATTGCATAAATCAGGTGATGGCATTCCAGACCGTGTAATTTTCCAGCACGTGCCATTGACCTTGACTGAATTCTGTCTCAGATAAAGAAGAGGTTGGCAAACAGTTGTTTGTCTTTTGGTTTGATCTGACAATGACGTATGTGCATGTGATGTGATTTGCAGAACAAAGCCTACAGACCATAAATCTGTACATTTTCAAAAACTCTGCTCTTCTGTTCAATAGCAGGTGTTTATTATTAATCTTCTAAAAAAGACAAAAAAATAGGACTGGGTTTTAAATTTCATTTTATTAATTAATTTGGTTTTCTGTTACAGACTGATCAACAATTGAGTTCAGAAGTAGCTAGTAATTTATATAGTACTAACTTGACTACATTTTGACAGCAATACTTCTAGGTTAAAGGTCCTGTATTATGCAAAAATTGACTTGTGAGTTTTAAGCCATGCTATAACCTCATTAAAAACATACCTGGAGTTGTGTTTTATTTCATCCCCACATGTTTGAGTAAGTTTTTATTATTCGTATGTCTATATCTTAAAGGAGCTGGTCTCCTTAGACTCTTTCTCTTTCTCTCAGATTAAAAAAAAACGATCTGGAATCCTCTGGGTGTAATTGTTTTTAACTATCTTTGAAATTGTGTTGATTGTTCTGTTTTACTGAATGTATTGTATGTATGTTTTTATATGTTTTGAAACTGTTTTGTGGCCTCTTGGCCAGGACGCTCCTGAAAAAGAGATTTTTAATGTCAATGAGACTTTTTCCTGGTTAAATAAAGGTTAAATAAAGGTTAAATAAATAAATAAAATATCTTCAAAGCTCAAAATGCTCTGTTCCACCTTGTGATGTCATGAAACAATAGTTTTCAAGTTGTCAGCTATGTTTTATCTTTTGTTTAGTAGAGACTGGCAATTCTAGCACTGAACTTATCCAAATGATTCTAGTGAAGGTGTATGGAGTTTAAAAACACAGTAGAGCACTTCCTGTTTTAGCACATGACATCAAAAGGTAGAACAGAGTCTGTGCAGTAAACATGTGTGAGTGAAACAAAACACAGCTCCAGATATGGTTTTGATAACATAGATCAGCAGAAAATAGTGTACAGTAAGCCCTTTAAACAACCAGGGAGCAATAAAAAGAACAATTAACAGTCACAATTAGGGGTGTAACGATATCCAAGTCTCATGATACAATATCGTCACAGTATGAACCTCACGCTACAGTATTTATTGCGATATTGT